TTTTTTTTTTTTTTTTTTTTTTTTGGTACCGGGGATTGAACTCAGGTCCTTGCGCTTGCAAGGCAGGCCACCGAACCACTGAGCTAAATCCCCGGCCCTATGCCATTTTAGATAAGGGATTTGAGCATCTGCAGATTTTGGTATCCACAGAGGTCCTTTTTCTGTCCTAATTTAAATTTATACATCTGAATGAGATTAATTTCTTCACCTTCCCTCTCCAAAAGGTTCAGAGGTAGAATTATAAATAAAATTAAAACACTGAAATCATTTCCTTTATTGCTGATTGCTTCAAGGCATAATTTACAAAGGATATAAAAATGTAAATGCTACAAAGCAAAGCATCCTTGTGATTGCCAATGAAATGTCCTCCTGAGCACCAGTCGGTTCCACCACACCAGCAACTCTTCAAAGGATCAGACCCAGAAGATTCTTCTCCCCAAGAGGATTGGGGGTGAATGGGAATAGAGAGGACTAGATGCATTATTTCCTACCAGGTGGGGGTGTTAGCAATCTAAATTTGACTTAAATGACTTTTCATTCTTTCCTAAAAGCAAGTAAATGTATTTCTTCACATTTTAATTTATTTCATTTTCATTATTGTTTTTTTTTACTTAAATAAAACAGCATATTTTTTAGTCTTGTTTAGGATTAACTTTTCTTCTGTCCTTCTCTTCCTTCCTAGACCCCACATTTTTTGCTAGTTTACAACTATTCAGGTAAGAGGTTCAGAACAATATTGATGGTCACATGCTACAACTTCCACAAATTCACATTACTGGGTAAATGCTAATCCCATTCAAATGTGTGTGTATGTCCAAATGAGTCTTTGAATAATTTCACCCAACAGACACCAATTATAATGCATTTCAAACTTGAATCAAGATGTATATTGATGAGTTGCCTTTCTTGACTACTGAGAGTTTCTCACACGGTTATCCTGAGGACTAATTTAGAAAACAAGCTGCTGATACTTGATTAAGAAACACTGGGTTTTGATAAAAATGTTGATTAAGGTATACACTTCCAGTCTGACTGGCTTTTATGTTTATCATCTGCCAGCGGTTCTTAGTATTTTTGATAGTGATAGTTAAATAAAAGGTGATACTATAAGATTCAAAGTCTCTCTGCTTCAGCAGTTTCTAGACCATCCCACATCAACTTTATAAAAATTTCTATTCTAGACATAAGGTTTTCTTCCAGAATTTAACTGAGTATTCATTTGTATAGCCATAAGACTTAGCAAATAATTCAGATAATCTTACAAAGACAGTATAATTGAGCAATCCAAATTGCTTTAATTTTAAAGAATAAATGGAGAAGAGGAGACTTCTAATTTTGTGTGGTTATTAAGCACACCCATTAAAAACCCTTGGCGTCAAATCAAATAATCAGTATCACATTTGATAATACAAGGCCTGAAATATTAAGACAGGCAGTAAAGTACTATAAAAAAAGTTTTTCAGAAAAACAGAACCACAGCAGCTAAAATTAAACCAATCCCATTACGCCAATGATCAATATGCACTTTCCTGAAAACATTTTAAATCAGATAAAATCCCAGTAAACAGCCTTCCTGAAATAAAGCAATAGACCTAAGTCAGAATAAAGTTTTTGTTAAAAAGGTTGCGGGGGCTCCCATAGTTTTGGGCAAGTGATAACTGATTAACTTGAGGAGAACCCAACCCAAGCAGCCCAGGGTCCATCTAGGGCGCTTACACAAGGTGGCTGCGCATTTCCTGGTCCTCAGAGGGAGCCAGGGTTTCGGGTGACAGGTACTCCCAGCTCCATGCCCCTGAAGATAAGATTCACAATCCACAAAAACAAGGCAAACACCATCACGAGCATTTAGAAAGGTCAAAAAGACATGCAGAAAATTTACCTTGTAGAAACCGTCCTTGGTTGAACTGGTGTACGACCAGAAACCTCCTCCTTTCTGATTTGCAGAACAGCTTTGTCAAGCCCAAGTGTGTGGTCACAAGGCAGGAAGTGACTAGAATGACAAATCATCAGCCAGGAAAGAAATAGATTTTGTCTTTAAAAGGACATTTTACTTAACTTTGTTTTCTCATGTCCCCTCCTTCCCCCAAAATCACCTGACAGAATAGGTCACACTGGAATTCAGACGCCTCTTACCACTTCCTCTTAAGCATTTTTCTACCTCCTCTCTTGCCTTTCTCTTGTAGCTGATTCTAAGTAGGCCCTGGGCTACTTAAACCTTTCTGATCTCAGATAGCAAGGGAAGGTCAGCCTGCTATCTTGACTTTTTTGTCTGACTCTCACTGCAAAAGCAAAGCCCAGGTGCTTACCTACTTACAGCACAGATAAGCAGTTATTCATTTTTAGCGAAAAAGCCAAGAAAAAAGGTAACCGTATACCTAAGACAAATCAAAAGGGACTTCCTTGGGAGAGCCCCGGTTCATCCTAAACCAAACTCAAGTTCTCTAACCATAATCCTCATGGTGCAAACAAAACAAAATGATCTCTTTAAGACAGGGGCCTGAAAAGGAAGGTTACTATATTATTTACTCATTCTTTTATTTATAGCATGACTATGTGCTAAGGATCTCTTTAACCCAATTAAAGATTTCAATTATTTAGATGTTTCCTATAAGCAACAACAGTAGATCACACCAGCAGCTGCTGTTAAGTAGATACCTTAATTCTTTCACACAGACCAGATTTTTTTGAATGCACATTTTATATGAGGGGAGCGCCATTCTATGTCCAAACACCAGATAGTATCTTGAGAACAAATTTAAATGGAATATCCTGAAGTTCTCACAATGCTACGAAGACTGTGTGGCTTCCTGAGTTATGTTCATTGAGTATTAAGCAGTTTATACACTGCTGGAAATGGTGTGATTCCAGTAGTAACTCTGCTATTTAGCAATGAGTCTATACTGTATGGCTGGGTTCCCAGCTCAGATGGGTTGAGGTGAGGACTCTATAAAAATCCACATTTGTTGGGGGTCATGGTGTTAAGAAATAGCAGTTAATTATTGAGGGGCTGCCTTTATACTTCCTTTGCTTCTTTAATTTATCCTCTAGAAAGCTCCTGCTTTAGACCTCAAATGTTAAACCAAACTGTTGTGGCTTATCTCCCTCAACAGCCATTGGGATGGTGACTTTTCAACAGAAGCAATACGGTCAATCTGGAGAAGAAGGTCATCAGAAAATGGGAAGGTATGGAAGAGATTCAGGCTATAAATAGTTCTATATAGGGAACAGAGAATAGTCAGTCCCCAGGGGAGACTGAGGAGATGACTAGGTTTCTCCACTGAATGATTACTCCCAATTAATATGTTGCAGAGAGGGTTTAGAAAGGACCTAAATTCTTTTCAGGATATCAGAAATATCTGTGCAACATTCTATGGGACCAGTTACAATACAAAGCAGCAAGATGTTGGTTTGCAGTCTGGTGAAAACAGCCCTCAGTCAGGTCCCTAAAGAGGACCCCATAGATGGCTCCCTGATGGTCTAAAGGGTGAAATGCGTGTAACTGGACCTTTTTCATCTGGCCACACATCCTTGCAGTTTCAGGGTGGAATGAAGGTCCAAGCCATGCTTCATAAAGGGAAACAGATAAGCATTTCATTTACCTGTCAGAAGGAAAACAGCAGCATTCTGTATCTACTGGTACCTGGTCATGTGAGACTCAAATCTATAAAAAAAAATTTAAGACATTTTTGTGCATGGGTTCCACAAGTGTGTGACTGCCTATCAGAACTGGTGATGGAGAGAGAAGTGAGACACAGTCACTGATCTCAGGGAGCACAATGTCCAACAAGGAGACAAATATGTGAGTAAACAAATGCCACGTATAATATACAGTTGGGAAAAGTAGAAATGTGAGCACAATTAATGTGTGAAGACAGTGAAACATGCATAGTCATGACTAGCCACTGGTTTAAATATAAGAAAAGGATTCAGGATTGCAGAGGATGTCTAGATTGTAGAAGCGGAAAGACACTGAGTTGCATGCACCTTACCACCTCCCAGTTGACAGGGTCTTTTTCTACCTTAGCACTAGCTCAGCTCTGACTCAATATCCCACACACCACCCCATGAACCACATCCGGACTTCACCATTTCAAGCCCCGCCTTGCTCTCTCAATCTTACTCTTTATCTGCCTCTCAGTTGGTATAAAGCCCAGGTGCACACAATTGTTTAAATCTTAGACTCTGATCCCTTCAGAGAGAAATATTTCACCATTGTCCATGTTTAAAATTGTTTGTGCATGATAACAGAAAGATTAATTTTATGATTGCATTTAGGTTCTGTACAGACCCAGCACTCCTGTATAGCCTGCACCCAGAGTAGACCTCACTGCACCCCACCCCTGAGGTGCCTCTGCTGCCACCTCTCCCATTTCTTTACTGACCCCTGCTCTGCCTTCCCCAAAGCCTCATGTGTTCCTACATCTTTACTCCCAAGCTTACTATGAGGGCTCTTGCCTCATTCCCTAAAACCATATCACCTGCAACTTCCTGCCTTTGAATGCTGCAGAGGCAATCACAGAAACACAGGCTTGGACTGTTGTACACTTGAACTGCTTGACTTCAAATTACTTCTCAGAAATACTCTTATTCAATTTCAGTAATTCCTGGGAGTAGGTATTCCCAACCTGGTTCAAAAACTCCTAAAATTATATGCAAAGTGTATACATGTACTTTTTTTCTTGGAAAAAGACCCATCCTATTATTAAATCTCATTATTAAAGAAATTGGACCTGAAATTCTGAGAATCTGTTCTAAAAACTTTCCTCTTGGCTCAACCTCCCAATCCATCCTCCTATAAACTTTCCCGGCACAAGATTCCTCTGCTACCCCTTAACCGTTGCAATAGTCCAAGTCCTCTGGTGTGAGCATCCTTTTCCATCCTCCTCTATGCTCCACCTCCCCTCCTCTCTTAAAAGAAGGGAGGCTGCTCTGTCCCAACTTTAGTAGCTCCTCCTTGTAGTCTTACTTTTATCTTATATTTCCTAAGGGACCATCAACGATCTCATTTTTCTAGCACCCTTAAATCTCTTACACTCTCCCCACTTTTTCTGCTCACACGGAATTTGTACAAAGGGAAAACTTTTACTTCATGGTACTGCCTCCAACATTTGAGAGGCAGAGAATGAAGACAACTGAGATATGCACAGTCCCAGGCTTTGTAGCATGTCCACTATAATTGAGACCGTGGGTATGTAAAAAGACAAGGAAAATGTGGCCTGCTCAAAACCATGACAGATGAAGAGCACAGTGCATGTGGGAACACACAGTACTAACCCAGGCATGGGGCCAGAGGCAGGCCAAGGGAGCAGTGAGGCCTGCTGGGTAAGGGTGTTGGGCTAGCCACCTTGGGCAGATTGTTCAATATCACTGGCCTCAGGGTTCTCATCTAGAATGGGATAACAATAGGGTGTTTTATATAGTTGTTGTGAAAGTTAAGCAGATTGATGTATATAGACAGTTTAGTGCTTGCCAGATATCTTTTAATGTTTATACCAGGCTCTAGCACATTGAGGTGATACTCTTTAAGTGAAATAAATAGGACACACATGTATAAATACTGAATAGTTTCTCTAGTGTGAGAAACTGAAAGTGTAAAGAAGAACTAAAAGGTGTAATAGATAATGTGAAATAGGAAGAAAAGGGGCAAAGGGGAAGGGGAAGTGGGAGGGGCAAGGGAAAAGAGAGAAGGATAACATGAGAAAATCAAAAAAATGGAAACAAAGTCTTTGTGGATAGGGAGGGGTGGGGGGTTGAAGAGAGGGCAGGGGAATGGGGAAAAAAATAAGAACCAAGATAGATTATGTAAAGGTGCAAATTTCCAATGATGAATGTCATTATATACCTTAAACGTACCAATAAAATTTTAAAAATATTTATACCAGCCTCTGGACTAGACCCTTCATATACATTATTTTGTTCATTCCTCACAATAGCCATATGAATTAGCATATATATTTTTATTTTTATTTTTTGGTACCAGGGATGGAACCCTAGTCCTGTGCTTGCAAGGTAGGTGGCGAAACCACTGAGCTAAATCCCTGGCCCTAGCCATATGAATTAGATATTTTCATTTTTTATCAATTTTTAAATAACAGCTTTATTAAAATGTAATTCACATCATAAAAGTAATACAACCCAGTGATGTCTAGCAACATTAACAGAGTTGGGCAACCATTCTACTATATAATTTCAGAACACTTTCATTATCCCCAAAACAAACCCAACCCATTAGCAATTACTCCCTCTTTACCCTCATCTCCCAAATCCCTAGTTTGTTTTCCACTAGTTTATTTTCCATATTGCTAGATTTGCCTATTCTGGGCATTTTATCTAGATGAAATCAAACAGCCCACTGTCCTTTGTGCTAGTCTCTTTCACGCTGTGTTGTCAGGGCCCATCCATGTTGTAGGGGGTGTCAATATTCGTTCCTTTTTGTAAAGCAATGATATTCTCCACTGTGTGAGAATATACCTCATTTTACTATTGTCTATCAGTTTAATGCTCATTTGGATGGCTTCTACTTTTCAGATAGTATGAATAACACTGCTATAAACATTTGTATACCCATTTTTCAGTAGATATTAGGTATTGATTTTTTTCAGTCAAAATAATACATGTACGAAGTTTTAGAAGTCAAATGCCACCCCAAGACTCATTATAAAACAATAATCTCCTGGCTATACATACCTTCTTCACCTGATTCCTCAGAGACAACTTTCTGCTACTCAGCTTGATCTTTCAAGATGTTATTCTTATAGTATGTTTTGACTGCTAAGATATATATACATATTTAAATGTTATTCATATATATTATATGCACACTATAAATTTTATTTCTCCTCTGCATTTGGGAGATAAATATTTGACACTTATCTATCAACATGTACACCAAAACCTCCCAACATCTCCTAAATATTTATAATTAAACCCATATTCTATTTTAAATTAAAGCCATATTCTATTTTTACAATGATTATGAAAGACTCAAAATCAAGGTACATATTGCATTATGCTTTTGTATCTTTTTTCATTTCATAGGTTCCTATGTGCTAATTCTAGTGCTAATAGTGTACTAAACTCTCAAACAGAACTAAATGCAATAAAAACATCAAGGAATCGGTCCATTCCCATTTTCCCCCTTAGAGAGGACCTTCCTGGAGTCTTTTGTCCTCCTGTCTAGCTGTCATTCATCCAGAACGCCCCTTCACCATCATCCTGGGAAGCCCCTGGGAACCAAGCCCTGGCTTGTTTCTGGACCACACACCTTCCACTTTCTTGGTCTACTTCCTTATTTTAAAGAGCACATCCTCTACTAGATTCCTGTGAATGGATGGGACATAAGTTTCTCAAAAATTTTATACTTGAGAACATATATAGTCTTCCCCCATTCTTGGAAGTCCACACTGGATTTCACTTTTTCTCAGAATTCTGAAGAAATGGGTCCAATGTGTTGGACGTTGTCCAGCATTGCTGTTGAGAATTCTGATGCCATTTGAACACCTCTTTATGGCTGGTATTCATATGGTATGTCTTCATGTGAGTCTATTTTAATCCACTGTGCTAGGCACTCCGTGGTCTCTACTGTAGAAATTCTAGTCTTTCATTCTGGGAAGTTTTCTTCCATCTCTCTTCCCCTCTCTTCTCTTCCCTCTCCCCTTCCCCTACCTTTTCCTCCTTCTCCACCTTTCTGTCTCTGTCTCTCTCATTTCTACGATTTTTATGTTCTTTTTTCCTAGCATTATGTTCATTTGTATATTGTAACTCTTGGGTTGATATTCTAATTTTAGCCCCCCCCCGCCATTTTCTACTTCTTGGCTTTCCTGTCCTACGGCCAGAGAGAAACTTTCAACATTTTTTGTAAAAATCCTACTGAATATTTTATTTCTGCCATTATTGTTTCAATTTCTGTCTTACTCCATTTTGTCCTGCTATAACAGAATGCCACAGACTGCAATTTAGAACAGAAATGTATTGGCTCACAGTATGGAAAACTAGGAAGTTCAGTGTCAGGGTGCCATTTGGCATGGGTCCTTTTGCTGTGTTACCACATAGTGGAAGATAAAAAGGCAAAAAGCAAGAGGGAGCTGAACTTTCTCTTTATAGCAGCATCATTTCACCCATGAGGGCAGGGCCTTCATGGTCTAATTACCTCTTAACAGTTTTACTTCTAGTGTGGAGGAGGCCAAATGTTTAAACCATTGCAAAAGTCAAAATCTTTTTCTCTGAATGTTCCTTTCCCATTTATAGCAAGATATGGGTCAGGATGGGATGTGGAATGTGTTTGCTTTTTATATAAACTATTTATCAATCCTATTTTTCAGCTCCATCTTGCACCCCAGCCATTGAAGGAATTTGGTACCTCAGAATCCGTTTTGCTAAGTGCCTGTCCTGCTGATGGCAAGATATGTAATATAAATTGTCTCTTGCCAGCTTCTCACACCACAGGTTTAGGGTTAATTTTTGTCATGTGCTAAAGTACTTCCCACAGTACATGTATTTCATGGCCTCCGATATTCTCCCAGAATCTCTTGTATACCACTGCTTCATTCAACATTGGTACACACTGGACTTAGAATTCCACAAGGCCAGGGGCTGAGTCTGTGGTGTTGTGTTAGTTTCTGGACATTGTACCAGGCATTTTCAAAGTGTGAGTTGAGTAAACTAATGGAGAGGACTAAGCTGAGCCTTGAAGACAGAAAGGAAAGATGGATGACTGAAGCGCTTTCCTTGTCGTTGGGAGGAAATACTCAATACCCACAACTCTTAAAAGAGGAGAGGTTTATTTTGGCTCACAGTTTGTAGAGATTTCAGTCCATACTCAGGTGGTTAATAATATATACTTGAAAATTACTAAGAGCATAGGTTTAAAATGTCACTATAAAAATAATAAGTCTGTGAGGTAAGATATTTGAATTAGTTTGATCACACATTATATATATATATATATATATATTGCCACATTGTATACCATACATATATAGAATTGTTATTTGTTAATTTTAAAAAAGACACTGATGATGATATGTAGCTGGGTCTTGAGAAATATATACAAGCTGGTCAGGCAAATGAGAGGAAAAAGTATGAATAGCACTTCAGACAAAAAGACCAACAGACATAAACTGGGCAGGGATGTTACCTTTCCCAGCTGAAATGTCACCTTTGGGAGTGTAAGAGCCGCATCTCCTATAGTACCTAACATGGTGTCTTGCGCATACACAAATTCACTACATATATGATTTGCTGAGAGGGCAAATTGACTCTCTAAACAACATGGCACTTAAAAGTCAAATCAAAGAGTAAAAGTAATTATTTCATTATTTTACTTGAAGTATCAATGTAAAATTCACCCTGTAAGCATGGTGGATTTTCCAGAGGATTTATACATGCAGCTACCCTATGAAGATTGACTTTACATCTATTTAATGCTAATTTTACCACTCCTTTCTGATAATAGTGCAACAAAAGCTAATTGTAGTTATTAATGTCAGACATAAAAGAAAAAGGCTGTGTATAGCTGCAGATTTAATTTGCATAAATGTTAAGCACATAAAAATGTTCTCTGTACAGTATTTCTAGGTATTAAGAAGAAAAATTCAGCAGACAATGCAGGCAGTGAACACTTCAACTGTAGAAAATTTACATTCCTGTGGTTGATTACAACTTCTTAGACACTCACTGACATTTTCCAATCCATTTGCACTCAGAAGTCATTGAAGCAGACGCAGGCTGAAATGAATGTTCACCACTTACCTTCAGCTTCCCATGCAGGAAATGTAAGCTGTCCACTTTTGTAAATAGATCTGCTGCTGAGACAGTGTCTGAGACTCTATCAACTACCAACAATTCCAACTGAAGAACAAGGATTTAAAATAAGAATACAGAAAAATATAGTGAGAAGTATTTCAATGGATAGTTAAGATATAAAGCTATTGGGCTTTTAAACAATGTTAAGCCTTAAAAATAAATAAAAAAATTTTTAAATGTAAGAAAAACTTTTGAGGAACACGGTACACAGGAAAAGCAAAAGCCCTGGAATTTAAAAATCTTAAACAATTTTTTATTCTAGGGTACACTATCTGGCTAAGGTACTTTGTTTTCCTTAGTGAAACTTATTAGTATTTTGGAGAAAGCACTGACATCACATGGTTACCATGAAGAATAAATGGGATGATATTTGTTAATATACCAAACACAGAGGTCTTTGTTGGTCCCATATTTTAACTGAATCTGAATTTTTATAAACTGTGAATTACATAAAAACAAATATTTTGAGCCAGGGATTTAGCTCAGTGGTTCTGCTGCGTGCCTTGCGTTCGATCCTGGTGCCAATAAATAAATAAATAAATAAATAAATAAATAAATAAATAAAAAAAATAAAATAAAATAAAATAAAATAAAAACAAACATTTCGTTATGTCCTCAAATGCATTCATTCAATCTTTTTGTATTGAGACTCAAGTAAGATTTATTTATACAGAATCTTCTAGATGCTCCCTGATGGGTGCCTCAACATATTGTATTTATACTTTCAGCAAACATAGGATATGCCTGGAAATTTCTCTCTTTTAAGGTAAAGAAACTGAGTCCCAAATGAAAAGTTTTTCTCTTTCCTATTTATCTGCATCTGCACTATGAAAATATTTCTGGTTAAGTTCTCCATTCTTTAAATAGAGATATGAATCAGCTGATGGTTCTCTAATACTAGGTCAAAGGATAGTCAACATAGCTTCAGTGAATTCAAATAGCTTCCTTACTTCAACCACTCAGTAAGCATTAAGAAAGCACTTACTACATGTAATGGGGAGGTTGAGGCAACCCTGAAGATTGCTCAGGATAGCTGGCCTGTGGCCAATGCATGACAGGTAAATAGAGCAAGAGTTAGGCTGGGGCAAAAGATAAGAGATCTGAACCTCATTAATATAGAGATCACTAAAACTATGGGACAGAGCTAACTCTCTGGTAGCAAGTTCTTAAAAACAAGTTAAGTAGACGTTTAGGGAATAACACTTAAATTAAGAGGAAAAAGAAGGGCCAATTTAAGCAATTGTTTTGGGCATGCAATGATATGGAATGTATCTTAAAAATAAAGGACTCCTATGTTTTATTCCTGCTTTTCTGTGCCCAGTAAAGGACAAGTATCAATGACAAAGGAGACATACACACTTTAGGTTCTGTCCACCTTGAGGAGAATCATATTCAGGGGAAGAATCTCTTGAACCACACAAAAATATTTAAAACTTATACCCAATTCACCAATGTAGAAGATAGGCTTCTATCAAGAAAACCCTGGAAGTACCCTGCAAATCTGAAAAGTTGCTCTGCCTGCAATGACTGCATCATCTAAGTCATTTTCTCCTTTCCTTATTCATCCTACTTTCTGCAAGCTACTCAACTGGAGATTTCAGTGGTGAGAAGATGGAGATACCCTCTGCTTTTTGGAGTTCACAGTCTGCCCAGACTAGTCTGCAGCTCACTGCTTTGCTTCTAGCCCAGAGTATCTGAGATTAAACCTCAGTGACAATTAAATGCTTGTCATTCCTGCTGTCCTCTGGCCGTGTACTTTTAGATGAAGTTTGGGTGTTTATTCACCTGCAGGGGTATGCTTCTTTTAAATTAATAATTCAGTGGCAATAAAATGTGATGAAAATATGAATGAGTGGTTGTACATTTTAATTCACATGACTGAGTGGTTCCTATGATCACTCTGGAAGGTTCTGTTACTGCTCTACACAGCAGGGTTGCAGCTTCATGAAGGCCTCCTGGTCCTTGTGAAACCCAGTCAAAGGAATGAGATCTTGGGAGGGAAAAACGTTATTTTTTACCTCATCTCAATTCTCATCACTCTCTCCTATCTAAATCAAGAGAAATTAACAAATTACATTTTTTATTTTAAAAAGCACGAAAATGAATGAGACAAGACTCCCCCAAAGTGCTTTTGGTAGTAGAATTCCTGAACTTATTGAATTTAAAATTTTCGTGCTACAAATGTTTGGAGATATATCAGAATGCTTCAGAAAGAGTGTGGTAACTCTGCCTGCCCCTGTAGATGCCATCAGCATTTCAATCTCCAGGCCATTTTCCTGCTTGTGGTGTAAGTCAACTTTAAATCCCCAGAGGTAACTGAACTAAGTGAAATGGGTTGAATATAAGTGGCGGAGACTGCCCCACTCTAGAAAATATGCCACGTCTAAAGGTAGAAGGAGAAAGAATGGTTGATCAGATGATCCGATTTTTCAAATACTGGCAGTGAAATTTTTAAAATTAAATGTCACTTTGGCTAACTTGTAATTAATTCATCCAGAGGTCACTAATAGCCACTGGCCTATGGACACTTTGTTTTTGTTTGGTACCAGGGATTGAACTGAGTACCTTATGCTTGCCAGGCAGGTGAGGTGCCATGGAGCTTCATCCCATAGAAAGTTTGCTATGTTTATACGGAAGGCATAAAGTAAAAACTCTGGATGTGCCCTGTGTATACACCAAGTGAGTAAGACTTTAGGACACTGAAAGACCCTAACAAAGAAGCATGCAGCTATAATGTAAATGAAAATAGAATGCACTTAAAAACCAAGAATGGTGATAAAATAATCAATATTCCTAGAGTTATGGGATGAATTGTTGATTGGTAACAATGATACAAAGAGGCCAGTAACAAAACATCCAAAAAGTTCAAATGAAATTGACCTATGCAATCATCCTTATTATCACCTAGAAACTAGTGGAAGATCTGGTGTGATAAATATTGGATATCGAATGTTAATTCCTAAGGCTAGAAATTTGTGTAATTAACATAAATTAATGTTGAATTTCCACTGAAACATATTACAAGACAGGGATGATTCCTTTAACTCAAAGCCGATTTCCCTAACATTTGTGATGAGGTTTCAGTGCAGATTCATATTCCCATCATTCACTCACTCAACAAATATTTATTGAATACTCAGTAGGTCTTAGGTACTACCAGAGGCACTGTGATATAAAGGGCAAATCAGACAGCAGTTTCTAGTCTTGTGAAATTTACATTCAGAGAGACAGACAACATATAGAATAACTAGGCATATATTAGTGATAAGCCTTAGGAAGAAAAAAAAAAGGCAGGGAAGGGCAATAGAAGCCTCTGCATGTGTTATGAGCATACAGTGTACGCGTACGTGTCAGGGAGAGAAAAGGTGATGTGGAACTGAAGTTACAAATAGGGCTTCTAGGAAAGACCTCTCTGAGAAAGTGACATTTGAGTGGAACCTGAGGGGAGTGAGGACTGACACTTAACACAAATTGCACAAAAAGGTGCAAAAGCCCTGGGGGAAAATATGCCAAGCATTTTTAAGGCCAATGTGATAAAGCAAAGAACATGGGGTAGAGAGGTAGCAGATGAGGTCAGAGAGGCCTCATCACATAGGGTGTTGGCTTTTATAGTGGGTGACAGTCATAGGAAGCCATGGCAGGGAGACAGTCTAAAAGGATTCACAAGCTCTGGTGCACATTTTTAAAGGATCCTATTGCCCACTGTGTCACGATTAAGCCAAACAAGAACAATGCCAGATGCAGAGACAAACTGGATGGCTGTTGCAATTATTTAGGTAAGGGACAACAGTGGCTTGGGCTGAAGTTTTAGAAGAGAAGGTGGAAGGAAGTAGCAGACACTAGGTAGACAGTAGAGCTGACAGTTTCCTTGTGGCACATGCATGAAAAAGGGAAGTAAGAAGGATGGATCCAAGACCTGGGGCCTGAATCCCCAGTAAGATGGAGTTGCTACTGACTGATATGGAGAAGACTAGGTAAACAGCAGGCCCCAGAGTGGGGAAAAGGAGGTGCTTAAATTTAGATCTGGTAAAGCCTACCAGAGACCCATGGAGAAGATGCTGAGTAGGCAGCTGAATAGAGGTGGCTGGATGTATACACTATATGTACGTATTCGAAGTCACTGGTACATAGATGGCATTAAAGCTGTGAGACTGGGTGAGATCACATAGGCAATAAATGTAACATAGAGGAGAGGAGCAATCTCTGTGCTCTGGCTATTACATAAGAAATTAAGAAAATGAAGTGGGACTAGCAAAGTTGCTAAGGCGGAGCATACAGAGAGGCAGGAAATAAATCGGACAAGTAATGACTGAGAGGCCTGGTGAGTAAGATGTAAGGAGGGGAGAGGGATCAGCTTGGAAAAGGGAAGGACAGGGAGCTGACCACTAAATACACAAACGTGAGATCCACTAGCAATAATTTATGTGTAGTTGATGTAAAAGTGGACAAAAATGCATTTGGAATCATTTCCCAAAAGAACTGGCTGGGGATGACAGCAACTGTAAAGACATTTCAGATTTATTGAAAAGAGAATAAGAGAAATTGAGGATGCTTGGTGAAGGTGAAAGTGGGCTCAATAGCTTATTTTCATCTTGTTTTAAGAGGAGAGAAATAAGAGCCTATTTTATGATTGTAAGGGAGGTGGAGAAAGGTAGAAGGAGAGGGAGATGGACTATTCATAGTAAAAGGGAAGATTTTTATGGAACATTTTTTCTGATAGACAAGAGAGGATGAGGTTTAGTGGTGACTAGGAGCAGGTGCTGGGAGGTTGTGATTGTCTTTATTTTCTCAATAAATAAGATTGAAGAAGGCACTATAGACAGGTTGTAGAAAAAGGAGAGAGTATGAAATAGTTCTCTAGGAATTTGGAGAATGAATGCTTTTGGGCAGTGGTGGTGAACCTAGGGCACCTGTGCTGCAGTGGGCTGTTTGTATCACTGCAAGCACTAAAAGGTCTGCCATCGCTACTTTAGGGGAATATGGTAAGGCAACCCAACAATATTTAAGGTTAGTGATTAAAATTTAAAAATATTCCTAACTTAATTTTGAAATAATTTCAGGATTATACAAAAAGGTGTAAAAATAGAAAAATTCCCAGGTGGCTTCCCCCAAGTCCCCCAAATATTAACAGCTTATATAATCAGGGTACAGCTGTCACTATTAGGAAAGTATCATGGATCTAGCATTTTAAATTTAGTGAATTACCAATGTTCCTTTTCTGGGCTAGGACACAATTCATGAGCCCACATTCCATTTGGCTGTGAATGGTGCCTTAGCCTCCTTTAATCTGGGACAGTTCTTTGGTCTATCTTTCACGCCCCAACACTTTAGAAAAGGCCATCGGATGTCCTCAGTTCAGCCTTGTTTGGCCCAGCTTTGATTCAGGTATGTATTTTTGGCAAGAATATCACAAAGTGATGCTGTAGTTCTAACACATTATCTCATGGGGCACTGGATGACTTCAGGAGGAGTCTGTCACTGTAAAGTTACAATTTCCCTTCTGTGATTAATAATTAGGGGGTCATGGACATAATATAAGTACTCCATGTGGGTTTTCTCGTGCCTACTCTACCCTGCTATAGCACAAAATAGAGAGCTGATATAATATTGAGCTTTATGGAGAACCTTAGAAAAAGTGAAATCTAAAACAGTTACAGATATTATCAGACAAGGGTAAAATGCCTTACTGATTTTCAATGGAAACCAAAACAATTATAGAAGGGAGTATAGACTTATATGGTCACAAAACAGAAAAACAGACCTGATTTTAAAGTTTCATGGGACTAATTTATATCCATTTTCAGTGGAAATGCTTCTGGAAACTGCTGAGAAATACTTCTTTGCAGAGGACTGTAATACTGATTATGCCCAAAACAGGCTGTGAAGAGTTAACCCCACAATTGGCGTGTTTTGAGAAATAAGTCTGGCTGAAGCCTACGTGCCAAAGTCAGAGTAATTTGCCCTCAAATTCTGTTCCCACAACTAAAACCTTCAGATTAGAAGAACAATGTTCTAATTACAATCATATATTTTGTCTATTCTGTTCCTAATTTGAGAATGCTTGTCATTTCTGAGCCTTGTTCACATTAATTTCCATAGAAACCACACATTTACCCCAACTGACTGCCAATAATAGCCAGGGCCTTTATCAGTTGCACTAGCATTGGCTGTCCTGGCGCCCCGCTTTCTCTCTCTTAGTTCTGTCTCCTAGTGTATTCTTTTGCTGAGTCCTACATTGCACAATGGGCAGGCTGGTACTGGAACCTGACTACAGGGGTCTCTTAATAATTGGCACCCAAAATAGGGCTTGAATCACAATCACTTGCTCAGTGAGGCTACTCAGAATAAAAAGGAAAAAACAAAAAGAAAAGAATCCATGACACAGTGCTTCTCCCATCAAGGTCAAGGACAAGCACAAAATCCCGGAAAAAGCAGGTGTGAGCTTTAGATGAAAGAAGGTAGTAAAGGTAATTAGCTGGGACTACTGGGCTAAAACATGGAGTAATCACTTTAGGCCCAAGCAGGCCTGCAGTGTTGAAATAAACACAAAAAGTAAAAACAAAAATAAACACAAAACATGAGAACTGCTTGGCTTTAGTACACTGGAGGGTGGGGGCGGAGTCCTGTGGTCAGACTCAGAGAGGGTAGAGCAGGGTTTGCACTCAGCTTGGAAAGAACCAAAAGGAGAAAATAAGTAATGCTTTGGAAACAGCAAGAAGAGCTTTGAAAAGCATAAAGCAAAATAGTGAGAGAAAACACTCCTGGCTTTAAGAGCCTAGGCTAGTGCTGTGTTATCGGCTTGATGCAGCCTGATGTTGCCTGCAAAGGTCTGAAATCCAAAACAAAGCCAGAGAAACTGTAACTGTGCTCTTTTCTCTATCAGACATCAAGAGATTTTACAAGAGAAATCAAGTTACAAAATTTAGCTAATTAGTAAATGTATCTTTGTTTCAATTTGAGTTGATGTTTAATTGATGTGCTTAAAACATTTCTTATGCATTGCAAATTCCTGAATTGTGCTTACAGGAGAACTACCTGTCAATTGGCGACCATTGTGGGAGCTCATATCGTGAGCAATCATCCATTCAGTGAGGCTACTCAGAATAAAAAAGAAAAAGAAAGAAAAGAATCCATGACACTGTTCCTTGCATCAAGGTCAAGTAAAAGTAGTCAGCTGGGACTAAAACACGGGGTAATCACTTCTGGCCCAAGCAGGCCTGCAGTGTAGAAATAAATGCTGCAGAGGATAGTTAAATATAATCACCATTTTTCACAAACAAGCCAATTGTGGGGTTGACTCTTCACAGCCTTTGGGCATAATCTGTATTACAGTCTTCTGCACTTCTTAAATCCATTATAGACTTATGTGTACATGTACTTAGAGGCAAATGTCTGGGTAGCAACTTGGGGCTCAAGCTGGTCTAACAAAGTGGGTAAACACTTGCACTTGGGGAGTCTTAAAGGGCTGTATTCCATACCTGCTTTCTGGGTTTAAATTCTCAGGGTCTTTAGACAGGCTTCTTAATCCTTCTAAGACTTAGTTTCCCTACCAGCAAGACGAAAAGCAAATAGACCTTATCTCAGGACAGCTGCAAGGCATCAATGAAGAAAAGCATGAGTAATTATACAATAATTAACTTATAGCACACCATCCAAAACTGTTAGTATTAATACTTAATACTTTTTATTATAATTAACAATTTACCATCTTTCTGTGTTTCATTTTCTGTAACTGGAGAGGAGAATCAACTAGATGATAATTTCTCTAACACAAATAATACATGAAAGTTATTATTCCAGACTTGTTTTCAGCTATTTCTGTTACATAAACCAACACAGAACTTAGTAAAAGCTGCTAAGGCAGTTAGATCATAACTATATACCCAAATAAGCTTAAATGTTACATTCAATACACAAACACAAAAACCAAACTAAATATTTTAATGAGCATAGTGGTGATTTGCTGGAACGAAGCCAGGTTTTGCCATGAGCCTGGTGCTGACTCGTAGGCCCAGGCTCCTGCAATTCATTCTGTGCTAACTCACCTCTTTCACTTCACCACCTTTGAACAACTGCTACCTTTAGCAACATCACTGGGCCTTCATTCTGTACAATGATTTAATCAGAGCTGGTTCTATTCTCATTAGCCCTTGAAAACGATGAGTAACTTGGTCTTGATTCAAGATTCATCCCTTAATGCAAGTCCTGTAGCCTCCCCGCTCTGTCAGTGGCTCTCTTCTGTCAGCTAGTAACCTAGTATGTAAGTTCTTTCCAGACTAGTATTCCCAGCCTTCCCTACCCAGCTTCTCCTCGAGTCAGACTGGGATACCTGCTAAGCATCCTTTGGGATCTGTTGAGATCTCTTTGTACCCACGCACTCATCAATCTTGGTAAATATTTCATGTGTGCTGTAGAGAGTATGTGTTTTCTACTATCTCAGATGAAGTTTATGAATTTATTAAAAAATTCCTTAGTAATCTTATGTCCACTGGATATTTTATTGTCTGAGAGACATGTCTAACAAAAAGATCCCCATTTTAGATATGGGTTTATAAATATCTCCTTGTAATATTGTCATTTTCCATTTTGTGTATTTAAAAGTAGTTATTGGGTGCCTCATGTGGGCATATGATCTTGACGAATACTTCTTGTATGTTTAAAGGTGAATCCAACAAAACATATTTTGGCTAGCATTATTATTTGCCCAGTCATGGGATCAGCTTGACAGTTCCCTGGCTAAGATGTATACCTGTTCCAGGGAAAGGGTCTCGGTTTTACACAGACCTCATCTCTACTTGCCACGAAGATAAGACAATTCCAGTACCTACTCCCCAAAAAGCCCCTAAGTCAGATATCCACGGACCACTACAACTTCACCTCCAGCTCCCTGCCATTTTTTGCTTCCAACACCCATGATTTTCTCTTCTATTCATCTCAGTGACATATTTTATCTCGCATTTCTATGTATTTGAGGTGGCAGGAGGCCATCAACATAGCACCAGTGGTCACACTGACTGGAAGTCCTAACATCAATTTCTACAAACTATACACAATCAAGTGGAAAAAGCTTTGTTCAAAAGGATACAAGTGTCATTCTCTTGTAATTTAGTAACAGTTATGTGTAATTACAATAGTAATAGTAATGAGTATGGTATTTTCCTTTGAATTATCACTGAGGGAAAAAAGTTGACATTCATTGAGCATTTTCAGTACTCCAGGTACTGTAGATGCTATTTAATTTTCAAAGCAACTCTATAAAAGAAAGTGTCATTATTGTCCCAATTTTACAGATGTGACAATTAAGGTTTACATATGTGACTTAACCAAAGTCATATAACTAGTAAATGGTGGTGTTAATATGCAAACCCAGTCTAAGACTCATGTATGTATCTAATTTATATCTCTTCTTAAATGGCTCACTTCCAGTGAGGAAAAATGGACATTTTAGGTATCTATAATATATAAAGATACCATGCAAATCACTAGGGGTAACTACAGTGTAAAACTTGGCATGGCATTGGCATAAGCCATTTGCAACAGAATATATTTAGTAATGAACACAAGAAGGGATGAATAAACTCACCATTAATCAAACAGTGTATTAATTAAATGCAATTTTCTACCTATCAGAATAATGAAAATTGGAAAATTTGTTAATTCCCAGGATCAGTTAAAGAGAAATGAACCCACTGATATATAAGATTTCTGGAAGAAGAATACAGATTTTTTTTCATTAAGTTTATTGGTACTTTTTAGGTATATAGTACAGTTACAATCATTGGGATATTGTACCTTTACATGATGTATCTTGGTTCTTATTTTTCCCCCTACCAGTGCACTTCCTTCACTCACTTTACCCTTCTCTATCCTTCCCTGTTTACAAAGACTTTGTTTCCATTTTTTCTTTTTCTCATATTTTTTCTTTTCCCTTCTTTCCTTTCCCCTACCCTTACCTACTCCTTGGACCTTTTCTTCCTATTTCATATTATCAATTATACCAGATACTATTTTTTAATCAAAAAAGTTTAACATACTATGCCACCTGGAAAAATGTCCTTCTATATTTGAAAAGAATATAGCAATGTAACAGGATATTTCAAAACTGAAAATATATACGTATAGGCACACATGTATTTATATGTATATAAAATGCCTTTAGGTATATATTTCATATGGTAATAATTATTATTTAATATTAAATATTATATTAAATATTATTATATTATTAAATGATTTCCATATGAAGGGAATACAGGAAACTTTGCTTTTCTCCCTTTTTTATCTGTATAATCTCATTTTTCTAAAATAAACATGTCTGAATCTCATGAATCCTAGTTCAGTGGTTCTTAACAATACCTGGACAGACAAAATAAATGGTGTTGAGCCTAGTACAGGTAATATAATGGGTCTAGGAGACCACTCCCCTCCACCCACTTAAGTTTGGGAAGCATCCTAGTGCCATTGTTTTAAGAAAGAAATAAAAAATAAAATAACACCACCACCACCACCACCAAAAAAAAGAAAGCCTGAAAATAAAATTACAAAGACCCAGGAAATCTTTGAAGCTCTGGGCCAGAGAACATGAGGGGTACCTGGCAGGGGTTCACATCCTTAGAACTCTGAAAGATTGATTTATCTGTGTGCTTTTTACTTTCTTGTTGTCTTAGCACCACTTTTCTGTTTGTGCCACATTTTTCTCAGCATAAACCTTCCTGAGCACATCTTCCCATGATGCTCAATAAAAACAGCTGCTTTTCATTTACCATTGAATGTACAGTCACAATTCACTACTTTCCATACATAATAGCCTGCAATCTATCTGCTGGATCCACCAAGCAGTAATAAGCCTATAAAGTGAAAGACTGATATTAGAAAGAGTATCATGGGATGCCTGCAATAAAATGTTGAGAAAAAAATTGAGTTGACAAAAAATGTGTTTACACGAAAGTGTTATATATACATATATACAGTACTACACACACACACACACACACACACACACACACACACAAATATCTGGAATATTTTATGCCAAACATTTGAAGCTGGGGAAAAGATGAGAAGAAATTTACTTTCTACATTAGTGTGTAATTTTATCCCCCATGACGCAGAAGTAGTTGTTATAGATGGCACATGAATCTACTCATTTAAGTAGGCTTTTGAAAGAAAAGTTTATTCCAGTGAACAGGAACTAAAATCAGGGAGGTTCTAGCAACCAGGCAGGGAAGGAAAACAATACTTATATAGATTTTGGGGAAGGGGCTATAACTGTAAGGACTGTTTGTGACTTGGATGCCCAAGGAGTCTGCTCAGGTGTGTAGATAATCACTGGACTTCTCAGCACTAGGGGGGTTGTATACTTCGTTTTGAGTCCATTTGCCTTATTTACTGAGAAGCTGCTGTTGTTTGCTGAAAGCAGCCTGTTTGTTTTGTCCCGTGTGTTTAGGCCTGGTCTGACAGTGGAAGTTGGAGGAGTTGATCAAAATCCATAAAGTGTGCACATGGCTTTTTAAGTTATGGAAATACTGCACTTGACTACTTCAATCCACCAAAACTTGACAGGTCTTAATGAGAAAATCACACAGTCCAGTACTTAAAAATCTAATAGATGGGTAGAATTTGTACTTCAAGACAAATTTGAAAAATATATTTGGTCATATACTTATGATTAATAACAGTTTGAGTAGAAATCAGTAATAGAATCATAAAAGATGAATAAGGAAATACCCTTAAGGGTGAGGAAACAGGTTCACAGAGGCTAAATAACTGCAGCTATACTTTTAAGATTGGCAGTGCAAATGACAATTCCCTTGGATCTTTCATGGAGATTTAGGAGGAATTATGCTGGTTCTTATTTCAATAATAATATTTCTTTTTTTGGGGGGGTGGGGATCAAACTTGGGTCCTTGTGCTTGCGAGACAGGTGATGGGACCACTGAGCTAAATCCCTGGCCCCATAATTATATTTCTTATGTAAATTTCTTGATTACACATTTGAGAAATGTACTTGCTATTTAAAAACAGTTTAAAACTATGATAGGCAATTACAGTCAAAATAGCCATACATTCAAAACTGATGTATAGATTGAATATAATTCCAATAAAAATATCAACAGCATTCCTAACTACAGAACTACAGAAAACAATTCTAAAATTAATATGGATCAAGGAGAGACACAGACTAGCAAAAGCAATCCTAGGTAACAAGACCCAAGCTGAAGGTATCATAATCCCAGATTTCAAGGTATACTGCAAAACTACAGCAACAAAAACAGCAAGGTATTGACACAAAACATCAATGGAATAGAATAGAGAATGCAGAAACAACAGTTAGCTGTCTGACCTTTGACATAGGGGCCAAATATATATACTGGAGAAGAACAGCCTCTCTAACAAATGGTGTGGGGAAACTGGCTATGCACATGCAGAAGAATGAATCTAGACCAATATCTCTCATCATGTACCAAACTAAAAATGGATCAAAGATCTACATGTTAAAACAGAAATAATCTGCTGGAAGATGAAACAGATAAAACTCTTGACATATGCATAGGCAAGAACTTTCTGCTCAGCACTCCAAT